TTTGGACTTCTGACCTCAGATCTATAAGGAAATAAATTTCTGTTGTTTTTAAGTTACTACATTTGTGGTAAATTGTTATAACAGGAAACTAATACAATTGAGTATTCTGTCAGCCCCCACCGCCCATTCTTTTAGTGTTAACCTATTTATGTCTTTATATTTCAAGTGTGTTTCTTAAAGTCAGCATGTAGTTGGGTACTGCTTTTTTATCCAATCTGACAATCTCTGTCTTTTAATTGGGAGTGTTTGACTATTTACATTTACTGTGATTGCTGATAGGGTTCGGTACGAGTAATCATCTTGCTATTTGCTTTTAGTTTTTCCTATCCTTTTTTCCCTGTTCCCTCTTCTTCTACTCTTTTTGGATTAAAACTGAATTATTTTTTGTTATTCCATTTTATCTTCTTTGTTGGCTTATTAGCTCTAACTTGTTATAAGAGTTCCTTTAGGGTTTATAATATACATTATTTTTTTTTATTTTATTTTTTAAGCCTCAGCATTGGATTTTACTTTGGGCAGAGGTGTGGGGAGAAGAAGAAGGGAAAGGATGGAGAAACAAGGTCTCACTAAAGGCGCCAAAGTGTATAAGACTGATAGTAGGATGGGGTAAGATGGCCAGGTAAATTAGACAGAGGGCCCCCAAGATTCTTTTTTGTACTGATTTCCATACTCCAATGAAAATGATATGACATATGTGTAATTGCCTCGCACATGGTATTCAATAAATGCCAGTCACTTTTTCTAGCGCTATTCTCCACAGGCTATGCCATACCTACACATCATCATCCTTCTCCTTTAGGGAATGAAACTCATCTAGAAAACTAGGGAACTAAAAGCACAGTACAGTTCGTGTGATATAGTTGGCTAGCTGGCTCAGTGGAGGGTCTCACTGTTTTGCCATCTCACCAACTTCACCCTGCCAGGGTAGGGTTGAGAGTAGTTTCCCTAAGGCCTATCAGTTTATCCTAGAAGATTACATGGGGAGGGCTGTGGGCTGCAACTCTGTAGGGAATACTCCTCTTGCTGATTTTGTGGGCTGTCTTCAGGATCCCAACAGCCTAGATGTACTCAGTATCTTGGAAATCCATATCATTCACAGGCAGGACTTGGTCCCTTCCCTGAAGTCCTACTCAATGTACGTCAAAGTTAGGACTCACCTTAGAGATGAAAATGCCTAGTTGGGAGATCTTTCCTCCTCAGATATTAAATGCCAACAAAGCTCCAGGAGGCTTCTTCATTATGACAATTCAGGGCAGAAACTGAGTCAACTCAATGTTGCAGTTAGGGGGTGTACCCTCTCATGAGGAGGATTCTCACAGAATGGCAGGAAAACCACTAGGTAGTCATTGTACAGAAACAAGCTGTCCATCTGTGGCAAGGTCCTCACCCACCACAGGCCTCAGCCACCCTAGGCTCTGCTCACCACCAATTCAGTCTCCACAGTATACACCTATAACCCAACAAAGTCTACCTTCAAATGTTATATCCTTAAATACATTTTACAATAGTATGTTTCCACCTCTCCCCTCATAGCTTTTGTTATTATTACCACACATCTTATTTTTATATCTGTTAAAAACCTCATAATCCATTGTTGTTTTTTTTGTTTAAACAGTCAACTATCCTTTAAAATTGGTTAAAAAAAAGAAAAAAATCTTGTATTTTTATCCATACAGTTACCATTTCCAATGGTCCTCATGCCTTTGTGTAGATGCAGATTTCCATTTAGTATCACCCTTCTGCCTAGAGAATGTCCTTTAGCATTTCATACAGTATGAGTCTGTTGGTATTGAGTTCTCTCAGCTTCTATGTGTCTGAAACTTCATTTCACCTTAATTTTTTAAATATATTTTGCTGGGTATATAATTTTATGTTCTAGTTATAGAACTCTAGGTATAGAAATTATTTTAATGCTTTAAAACTGCTACTCCACTGTCTTCTTGCTTGCATTGTTTCCAACCAGAAATTGTGTTATCCTTATCTCTATTTTTCTGTACATAACACACATTTTTTGTTTCTTAACAACATATATATATTCTTCTGATTTTTTTTTAAGTTTATTTATTTTGAGAGAGAGAGAGAGAGCGAGAGAGCAAGCGAGCATGCACAAGCAACTGGGCGAGCAGCAGAGAGGGAGTGAGAGAATCCCAAGCAGGCTCCACGCTCAGCACAAAGGCCGACACAGGGCTCCATCTCACGAACCTTGTGAGATCATGACCTGAGATGAAATCAAGAGTCAGATGCTTAACTGACTGAGCCACCCAGGTGCCCTATCTTCTGACTTCTTAAATGACTGAATATTACTTCAATGGTTATGTTACAATTTATTAACTATTCGCCTAGTTTAGACTACTTCTAGTCATTATGATAAACAAAGCTGTAATGAACATCTTTAAAAAAATATCTTTACGTATGTAAGCAAGTATAGCTACAGAATAAATCCCCTTAAGTAGAATTGCTGATTCAAAAGAATTATGACTTAAAAGTCTAATGAATATAAATAAACTGCCCTGTGAAAAGACTGAACAACCTTACACTGAACAAACCAACAACATATGAGCATGCTTACTTTTTCCACATTCTTTCCACTGGGAATTTTCAAATGTTTAAACATTTGACATTCTGTTAAGTGAAAACTATACTTCTAATTTACATTTCTTTAATCATAAGGAAGATGCTAATCTTTTCAGTTATTTATCTACATCTATCTATCTAACTCACACTAAACTATGTTTTTTTTTAGCAAAATTGTAATGCAAAATCCAAGGTGCCGTGTTACTTACTTTATAGTTGAGTCCATCAAAGCCTCCTGTTTCCAGAGAGTGAATGGTCTCAGGTTGACACTTGATATTGCATTATTTATGTGTTTACTACTATTTGCAATAACAAAAGCTATTAGAAGATGGGTGTCCTAGGATCAAATATCCCTGCATGAATTAGGTTTGCTGCTGATTAAAAATGCCTTTGCCCATATTTTGCATCTCCTCTGGATTATGATTTCTGAATATAGGATTTCTTTTGGGGGTAGACGTACACTATTATGTTTCTCTTAGTGTCAGATACATACATAGTGTATATAGTTACACACACATATATATGTATGTATATGTATATGTGTGTGTGTGTGTGTATATATATATGTACATACACACACACACACACACATATACATTTTTTTTTCTGTGAAGTGCTTGTTCGTGTTGCCTACCAACTTTTCTTTATCCTTACTGTTTTCTAACAGTTCTCTGCATGTTAATGCAATTAACTCCTTGTTATGTGTTAGTAATATTTCTTTTGTGCTTGATGTTTGGTTTTCTTTAGGGTGTTTTTCATACAATTTTTTAAAATGTATGTAGTCAGTTTTATCATTCTTTTCCCTCCTGGATTCTGAGTTTGTCATTCTTTGAAAAGGTGCTTTTCCTTGAAGATTATAAAAAGATTCATTTATGTTTTCTTCTAGAGCTTTTTATTTTTAACTTAATCTTTGGTCAAACTGGAATTAAATTTAGCATAAGGAATGTTATAGGTATCCAATTTTATTAATGTTTTCATTATTTATTACTTAGTCCTTCTTTTTGCCACCAATTTGAGATGCCAGCTTTATCACATACCTTCCCCAATATTCACACTGTACCTGGCTTCTAACATCTAAATTCACCTGTTTCCTTGATTTATCTGTCTATTCCGGTGCCAAATTACTTCAATTTCTATGGCTTTCTAATTGCTTTCATATTAATTACAGCAGGTTCGAGTCTCTCCACTCTTCCTGTGCTTTTATTTTTCAGAATATTCTAGGCTAGTCTTTCATATTTAGTATGATTTTATAACATTCTTATAGCTAATCTCCAGCCTTATAAAAAATAATACAAAATAAAACAATTGACATATAAACAATGTTTTTGATTGAGCTCTCATACATTTATAAAGAGACTTAGGGACAAATAAATTTCTTACGACACTGAATACTTACGGTCAAGAGTAAGGTTCTTCTTTCTATTTATTCAAGTTTTTTCTTATATTAGCAGAATTTTTAAAGTCTCTTCTTTATAGGTAAGGTACATTTCTTATTAGTTACATAAGCAGGTATTTTCTCTCCTGTGTAATTATTACAAATGGGACCTTCTCCTATATTTTCTGAGTAACTTATATATATGAAAGGCATTTATTTTTGTCTTATTTTAGTTAAATGAATATTTTAAAAGTTTTATTTGGAAATAATTTCAGGCTTACAAAAAAGTTACAAAAACAAAACAAAAGATTCACCCATTGTTAGCATTTTGCCACTACTTTATGTCATTCTAGCTTCTTTTTTATATAAACATATGCATGTACACAGACATTCACATAAATAATAACTTATATACACCATGACCCTTTTGTCACTAATACTTAAGTGTTTATTTCCTAAAAACAAAAATATTCTCTTAAGTAACCAAATTATTATTAAATTCAGGAAATTTAACAATGATATATTATTATTTAACCTGTAGTTTGTATTTTAATTTTTCAACTGTACCCCTATTATATTTTAAACAGTATTTCTAGATTCTTATTGTTTCTGATAGTGTGTTAGGATATTCTTTGGGTTTTTTTTAGGAACAAAAATAACATCTTAGAATAACAATAATTTTGCCTTCTCCTTTTCTTTATTCATTCCTCTTGGTATGATTTCTCAAAGTCTTATGCTACGTTGGTTACATCACAAACAGGTCACATATGTAAATTTGAAAAGAGTTCTGTAACTATTCTCTCCAAAGGAGAAGTATAGAAAAAATGCCAGCCTATAAGCCAGAAGTTCGTGATCAAGTCCTAGTTATGCTACTAATGAACTGTGCACTACCAGGAAAAATACTTAACCTTTCTCAACTTCTTCATCAGTAAAATGAGAAAGTTGAGACAGATAATCTAGATCATCTCTAAATTCTTTTCAGTACCAAAATTCTATTTTTTTCTAAGTTACTTAGTTAAAAAAAATTACAAAGAAATCAAATATGCCTCACCATTTTTTCCAGCAAGTTTTGTGTTTTTCCTGATCTGTTTTCCACTCTTGAGTCTGGCTGAACGCATATTCTTCCTTTTACCTTTAATCATTAAAGCAGGATCCTGCATTCTTGAAAAATAAATATGTTTTTAAAATTACCATCATGTCCTCTACAACCATTCACAGAGAATCATATCAAATGTTGACTAAATTTTGAAAACTGAAAGGTATTTTACTGAGCTACTGTCAAGCAGCATGGCAGTTTTAAATATGGAGATTGCAGGGCATCTAGGTAGCTCAGTTGGTTAAATGTCCGACTTTGGTTCAGGTCATGATCTCAAGGTTCATGGGTTTGAGCCATGCATCGGGCTCTGTGCTGACAACTCAGAACCTGGAGCCTGCTTCAAACTGTGTGTCTCCCCCTCTCTCTCCCCCTCCTCTGCTCACACTCTGTGTCTCTCTCTCTCAGAAATAAATAAACATTTAAAAAAAAAAAGGACTAAAATATGGAGCTGACTTCTGAATAAATTGCAGATAATTCTGTGACAGGCATGTCAGTCAGTGTGATTTCTAGCCTTTTCTTTGTACCTGAATTTCTTATGGGCTTCTCTCCTTTATGAGAAGTCATCTATAAGTATTCTGAGTCTCTTGCCCCTCACTCCCCAAATTGGCATGCTACTATCTATTCACCTTCTAGGGAAAAAGAGACAGGTTCTTTGCAAGAAAAAAGAACTTGCCGTATGGGATTGCAGTGATCAAAAACTGCAAACTACTGGCATAAAAATAGACACACAGGTCAATGGGACAGAGTAGAGCCTGGAAATAAACCTACATATATATGGTCAATTAATTTACAACAAAGAAGCCACAAATAAACAATGGGTAAAGGATAATCTTTTTAATAAATGATGTTTTGAAACTGGATAGCCACATGCAAAACAGTGAGAATGGACCACAATCTTACACCATACAAAAAATCAACTCAAAATGGATAAAAGACTGGATTGTAAGACCTGAAATCATAAAACTCCTAGAAAAAAACACATAGGTTAAGCACCATGACATTGGTTTGGGCAATGATTTTTTGCATTTGGCACCAAAAACCAAGGCAAAAAAAGGAAAATAAACGAGGGCTACATCAAACTAAAAGCTTCTACACAGCACAGGAAACCATCAACAAAATAAAAAGGCAAGCTACTGAATGAGAGAAAATATTTGCAAATCATTTATCTCATAAGGGGTTAATATTCAAAATACATAAAGAACACATATAATGCAATAGCAAATAAACAATCCAATTAAAAAATGGAAAAGGAACTAAAAAGACATTTTATTAAAGACAACATCCAGGGGTACCTGTGTGGCTCAGGCCTGCGTGACACTTGATTAAGTGTCTGACTTGATTTCTGCTCAGGTCATGATCTTGCAGTATGCAAGTTCAAGCCCCATGTTGGGCTCTGCGCTGACAGCTCAGAGCTTGCTTGGAATTCTCTCTCTCTCCCTCTCTTTCTGCTCTTCCCATGCACTTGCTCTCTCTCTCTCTCAAAATAAATAAACTTTAAAAAAAGACATCCAAATGGCTAACCGGTACATAAAAAGGTAACCCACATCACTAATAGCATGAAAATGCAAATGAAAACCACAACGAGATATTACCTCACAAGTGTTATTTACAATGGCTACCATCACCACTTCTGGATATTTATCCAAAGAAAATAAAATTACTATCCTGAAAAGATATCTGCACCTCCAAGGCCATGACAGCAATATTTACAATAGCCAAGGCATGGAAACAACTTAAGTATCCACCGATGGATGAAAGGATAAAGAAATTTGGTATACAGTGGTGCCTGAGTGACTCAGTCAGTTGAGAGTTCAACTTTGGCTGAGGTCATGATCTCACAGTTCATGAATCTGAGCCCCACATCAGGCTCTGTGCTGACAGCTCAGAGCCTGGAGCCTGCTTCAGAGTCTTGTCTCCCTCTCTCTCTGTCTCTCTGCGATTTGCCCTCTGTCTCGCTCTCCCTCGAAAATAAATGAACATTAATAAAAAATTTAAAAAAGAAAATTAGTGTGTGTGTATACATATATATACATACATACACACATATACATACAAATACATACACACATACATACACACACAATGGAATATTATTCAGCCATAGAAAAGGAAATCCTGCCATTTGTGACAATGTGAAAGGACCTAAAGGGTATTATGCTAAGCGAAATAAGTCAGAGAAAGACAAACACTGTATGATCTCACTTATATGTGGAATCTAAAAAAAAAAAAAAAAAAAAAAAAAACCAAACTCATAGATACAGAGAACAGACTGATGGTTGTCAGAGGCCAGGGGGCGGGATAGTAGGTGAAATGGGTGAAGGTGATCAAAAACTACAAACTTCCATTTATAAGATAAATAAGTACTGAGAATGAAATGTACAGCATGGTAAATGTAGTTAACAATTCTGTACTGTATAGTTGAAAGTTGTTGAAAGAGTAACTCTTAGAAGTTCTCATGACAAGAAAATTTATAACTGTGTAGTGATGCATTTTAACTAAACTTATTTTAAAAAAGAGTGAAAATTAGCATTAGGCTGAAATACACCAAATCTCCCATTACCTTTAAAAAAAAAAAAAAGTAGAAGAGTTTTCTGGGATAAAAAAATAACTGTATAGTAAATAAGGCAACAACAGTAAAAAATAAAGTTCTTCACTTAGGGATAACTGTACAGTAACGCTAATGTTCCAATCATAGATTTATCTATAAAGTCTATAGCATATCTAGAGAGAAAGAATAATTTGCTAGCATACCTGAAATTCTTAGTTGAGGACTTCTTATTTGTTTGATCCTCACAGACAAGTATCTTTTGTAAAATCTTTTCTGACATCTTATACATGTCATCTGTATGCTGTGCATCTCTTCCTGCTTTCAGTCTGGATGATCTCCTCAACACGCACAGAGTGTCCTGGTCAGACCTATTTTCCAATGATTGTGAATTTTCCTTATTATTTAATAGTGAATCACAAGTGGTGACATTGTGATGAACTGAAGTTTGCAATCCAAATGGATTTGGATCTTCTAGAGTCTGTAATAAGATGTAAACACATAAAGAAATAATTCTAGCAATGCAAAAAATCTAGAATGAGAAGAGGGGCACCTGGGTGACTCAGCTGGTTAAACCTCTGATTCTTAATTTTAGCTCAGGTCATGATCTCACAGTTCGTAAGTTCAAGCCCTGTGTCAGGCTCTGCGCTGACAGCACACAACCTGTTTGAGTCTCTCCTCTCAATCTCTCTGCCCCTTCCCTGTTCGTGTGCACTGTGTCTCTCTCTCTTCCTATCTCTCTCAAAATAAACATGAAAAAAATTTTAAATGAGAAGAAATTAAGTATTATCTTGTCCTTTGATTACATAAAAGTGCCTCTTATAAGATGAAAGTACAAAAATTCACATAGTGAAAAATTTAATATTACAATAATAAAGGATAATGCAGATTTAAAAACCTAAGAGAAGAAGAGGAAAAATAAAAACTATTTTTACCACTATTCATCCCTAAATTTCAAGGGCAAACCTAAGGTTACTCTAGGTGCTTTAATGTCACAGGAAATGGGTAGCAAAAAATGATGAGACATGTAAAAACAATAGAAACGTCGCACTAGACCAGATCAATGTTCTATTCAGCCCAGTGTTTGTTGTTTGACAGTAGGAAGGATATTTTGCGGACAAGACAGTAGATAACTTCTCTTACATTAATTTTAAAGGATTACCAGTATATCATGAATGACTCTAACTTACCCTTAATAATACATTATAGATTTAACCTTCATGAAGATATAAGTATTTTTATACATATCATGTAAACCTTTCTTCAGCTTATTTATATGTCCAGCTTACAAAGTTTTTTGGGGTATAAGTTCCATATTTTTATTACAGCTGAGTAAAAAGGTATTTAATTTGTTCTAAATCAATCTCTTTTTTAAAGAATTTCTTTTTTTTTGAACACTTGCTAATTCGTGCTCACTCTATTAATACCGATCAACTGTAATTTCCTACATTTTACTCATATTACCTCTTTTCAGATTAGAATACCACAAAATTTAACCTTCATGCCCTATCTCCATGATTAGTTTTTATTTTTCTATATTTTTTTAGTTTTATTATGTCTGTATTAGAATGCTTTTTATGAGAATTTCACGCAGCATTATGCCAGGTATGTATTCTTCAACATGAGCCTAGTATCATGTTATATAAAGTGTCCCAGTTATATTCATTAGAGTATCCTGGCAGTAGCCAAAAGCAAAAGAAGAAAAGAAAGAAAACAATCCAAATGATCATTAGTGAATTAGTTAAATAAATTATATTTTATACAATATATGTATACACACACACAAAATATCCATATAGTGGAATAGTATTCAGCATGTAAAAAGATTTAAGTAGTATGCTACACTTGCCGACACAGATAACCAAGATGTATTATTATTAAATTTAAAAAACAAGTTCCAAAATGTCAACTATACTTCAATTAAAAATATTTTTAAAAGTCGCAAAGTATTATGTATAATAGAGTCTCATTTATATAAAGTAAACTTATATAAAATATGCACAGAAACAGGGGCACCTGGGTGGCTCAGTCAGTTGAGTGGCTGACTTCGGCTCGGGTCATGATCTCACAGCTTGTGAGTTCAAGCCCCGCATCGGGCTCTGTGCTGACAGCTCAGAGCCTGGAGCCTACTTTGGATTCTGGGTCTCCCTCTCTCTCTCTGCCCCTCCCCTGCTCACACTCTGTCTCTCTCTCTCTCTCTCTCTCTCTCAAGAAATAAATAAACATTAAAAAAAAAGAAAGAAAAAAAATATGCACAGAAACAATTGGAGACAGATATACCAAACTGTTAATAGTGATTATTTCTGAAATGTGGAATTGTGGAGGACTTTTTCTTATTATTATTCTTATTATTACGTATTGCTGTAACAATTGATTTTTCTTTATAATCAGGATGCATTACTAATGCAGTCAGGAAAAACATTTTCTTTAAAAAGTAAAAAACCTGTCAACATAAAAAAGAGACTTGGCAAGTGGTAGCCCACTGCAGGGCCTCCAGGCATAATACTGCAGGGATTCTAAACCCAAGGAATTGTACCACTTGACAGGATCCTCAGACACAGACTTCAAAGTTCTGCTGAAGCCACGCATAACTTTTCCCTCTCTTGGAAGCTCAACCACATATGTTCTATCCTTAACCAGAAATTAATGTGCAATATCTCATCTCTACTCCACACCCAGGGAGACATAGTGATTTTCTGAGCTAATGGGAAAAATTCTGGTAAATAATTATTTCCTTCATAAATACAAGCAATATAATGATACGTCTTCTCAGGTCTTTTGGTGAGAAACTTATATATTTTGACATTTAGACGCCTTGAAAAGTCTACCCCAGGCATCTCTAGAAAGACCAGTTTATACTTTAAATTCAAAAGCATCTTCTGAGTATTTGGGTATATTTGGGTATTTGGGTATATTTGGGTATATTCTGAGTATTTGGGTATATTTGGGTAGAAAATATGAATTTAAAATAAAGTATATGGGCAATGAAGACTTGCCAAAGGTCATTATAAAAGGCAAAATGACAGACTCATACTTGCACTTACATGCTGCAGTGAAAGATGCTTGTCCTGCAGCTCAGCTAACTTAGAATCTTGGTCAAAAAGCCGAGGAGAACAAAGAGACTCCAAGTTCACCTCTGTTATTTGTATACAATCTTCACCAGTCTGAGACATCTTGGGCTCCACTCCTAAACATTCATTTCCAGCAGTGAGACTGCTGCCTCCCTCTGTTTTGTGACAGATGGGTCCCACAGTGGCTTCTGATAATGTGTTTAAGGCTGCTAACAATTCAGTTGGCAATGCATTATCCTTTGTGTTTTTTAGTAAATCTCTGTGACATGTTAAAGACACTGATATGGAACTTGGAGACTTGCTCAATGGGTTGGTCAACTCTTTAGGATCGAAAACACTCATTATTTCAAATAGTCTTTCCTCCTGAGTAATTTCTAGTGATGTGAGTAACCTTTCTAAGGTAGACACAAATGTTTTAAGAGAGCTTTCTTCATCCTTGGTTTCTTCAGAATTCATGGTCGACATGGCTTCATTTCTAGACTCAGAAAACATATTTGGTAATGCTAAGATCTTCTCTGGCTCTATTAATGACTTCTCCTTTACAACCACCACATTGGATACTCTAAGAGCAGTATGTGAGAGAAAGCTAATTTCAGGAGAGTCTCTGTCTGTGCTTAGTTCCTGTGTGTTCCAAATAGGAATTCCATCATTATAGCATACATAAAAAATTAAAATTAAAATTTTATAGTTTTCTAGTTTATCATTTTGAGAAATTACCACTAAAAAGTTTCAACAACTTCCTTCTGCTTCCATAAATAAAAACACTCTTTACTAATTTCCTATGCCAAATCACTAATGACTCTGAATACATCTACAGTGGACCAAGAGTAAAAATGGCTGGGTCATAATTATAGATGCCAATTATTTGTTTAGCTAAGTTTACATTATCTGTGCTAACAGAAGAGGCAGAGATGGCATGTATAGTTAAATTAGAAACTGATCTCAAAAATTCACTGGAGTTAATAACCATTAAATTCTCCTTTGTCTAAAATAACACTGAATTTTTATTTACTTATAATGTTTATTTATTTTTAAGAGAGAAAGAGCAGGGAAGGGGCAGAGAAAGACGGGAACAGAGGATCTGAAGCAATCTTTGTACTGATGGCAGAGAGCCCAACGTGGGGCCGAAACTCAAGATAATGACCTGAGCTGAAGTCAGATGCTTAACAGATCATGAGCCTCTTAATCACTACTAAATTTTTTAAAGATCAATAACCAGTAATAAATTTGGTGTAGTTTCACCTACTTTTTATTCCCCATCTCAGTATGAATATGTAAATGTGAAATAAAAAGGCCAAATGACAAAAGGTCAGAGGAAAACAGAGAAGAAATAAAGACATGGTTCTATGTAAATATTAAAAGCCCCAGGTATAAATCAACTGTGGTTGATTTAAACACATAAAACAAAGCTTATATTTTTAAGTGACTATTATTTTTCAAAGACATCATCTTAATAGGTTATACCTATTCTTATAATTTTTCCAATGTTCAAAATATCATTAGACTTCCTCTTTTGAAATTGGTTTCAAAAAATATTGATAAGCCACTCAAAAAAATGTCTCAATACTTTAAAGACACTGCACTTTTTTCTAACCATTAAAAACTGTTAATTTGCTTGACCCTAAATAACAGAATGAGTTTCAATGACTTTTGGCTATTTCTAAAAATCAAATCCACCTTCCAATGACACAGCACTCTAATAGAATGCATTGTAATTTGTAAGCCCTCCAATGTTCTGATTTGATTTGAATAAGAGAAGTGAAAACCATTTTATTCTTCCCATCCTTTCCAACTGCCACCATTTAACTTCTCTGTAAACAGCATACAGAGTTTAAGAAGACATTTATTTATTAGTAAACTGTAATTTGCTCACAAAAGTAAAAGGAATTTAGAAAAAATTCAATAACCCAGATCCTATCCATTCTTTAAGTCACAGTACAAGGTCTCATTCCTATTTGAAGGCCTTATATCTACTAAATTCAAGGTCATTGGGGCACCTGGGTGGCTCAGTCAGTTGCGCATCTGACTTTGGCTCAGGTCATGATCTGGAGCTTCGTGAGTTCGAGCCCAGCATTGGGCTTGCTGCTGTCAGCCTGTAGGCGCAGAGGCCACTTCAGATCCTCTGTCCCCCTCTCACTGCCCCTTCCCTGCTTGCGCTCTCCCAAAATAAATAAATATTAAAAAATAATAATAAAAATTACAAAATAAATTCAAAGTCATAGATATAATAAAGTACATATGTTGGACTCTGCCCTAAAGGAACTTAATTTCTAAATGAAGACTGAGGCATAAACACAAAGACATTAAATAAAGTATAAACAATGTCAAAACACTGTATGAATTCAAATGAATGGCATAAACAAAAGAGCCTAGTGTTACAAGAAGTTTTCTGGGGGAAAAAACCAGGAGGTAGAAGAGGGTTCTCATGACTGTTTGAAGAATGGTTGGTTAAACAAAGTTAAGCAGGTTTCTTTACCATAAGACTTTTCAGAGCATGTGCATTAAAATCTCTGAGGAGACTTTAGGATATAGGTTCTCCAAATTTTTTTGTTCACAAATATCCTTTTTCTCAAGATCTCATCTACTAATGTCATAGGATGCAAGCGACTGAAAAATGCTGACATAGTCAGTGAATAACGAATGCTTAAGAGGGAACCATTACTTTGGTCAAGATTACCAGAGTCATCTGAGACAGATCCACACAGGAGAAAGGACTTGAACCAGAAATTAATTTGTGAAGGATTTAAAGAAGGGAAAAACACATATTAAGTAATACCTAGGTGCCAGACACCACGAACTATCATTGCTCTCAGTCCTCACAGTAATCTTGTGAAACAGATATTGCTACTGGTATTTTACACACGTAAATGGACACACTTGTCCTTGAAACACACACTATCTGGTTCCAAATGTTATGTTCTTTCTCTTGCTTTCTGGCTCCTGACTTAAACAAAAGCATGGAGATGGTAATGTGTAACATATAGGTGAGATAAAATAAGGTACAAGTATGGCAGGGTGGATCTGGGGAGGTCCTTGACTACTTGAGTCTGTTATGGGCAGAGTCAGTCTTACAGTTCTCTGATTCCCCACGGCACTCAGCAGAAAACAAAGCCAAAACAAGCACTCAACACATGGTTAGTGATTAGCAACTGGAAGATGGGAAAACAGTATCTAGCAGGAAATATTGAAGGAACTGGGGTAACACACAAACAGAAGGCATTTCTGCTACACCATCTCAGCAATTAGTTTGATAATAAGTTACATACTTCTCCTCTAGATAAACGGTAAGAGACTAATACTACTGGATAAGAAACACAGATCAATATACAGTATAAGGAAGATGGCAGAATAGAAAGACCCTAAGCTCACTTCATTCCACAGATACAACTAGATAACACATCAGAGTAAATAACTCAGAAAACGACCCAAAGACTGGCAGGACAAACTCCATAGGTAAATATAGAGAAGAGGCCACACTGAAGAGTATAGGAAGGACAGAGATGCAGTGGGGAGCTAAACAGACCTGCGGAACCTTCCCTGAGGGAAGAACTCCAGGGGATGGAGGGAAGAACTCCAGGGGATGGAGAGAAGAGAGAAACATACCATCACACTGACGGGAAGGGACCCAGGTAAAATAAATCCCTGTAACATTTGGCTTTGAAAACCAGAGGGGCTGAATTTCATGGGTTTTCACAACCAGTGGGACTTTAAACCTAGAACTTTAAAAACCAATAGGCTCACCTCTTGGAGAGCCAGGAGGGTAAAAGGAAACTAAGTCCCCACACTTAAAGAGACAGCACAAAAAAATAGCCTATAGAGATATACCATAGAAGCAGCAGTTTGGAAAATACTTGGGGAACAGGGGTGGGAAATTTGTTTACTCATCTCAGAATGTGTGCCAGAGGTGCAGGGATAGTTGGAAGACTTCTCCAGGAACAAAGTAGCTGGCAGGTGCCATTTCCTTCCCCATACTAAACACCTGGCCACATAGGGGGACCAGTGGGATACAGACAGTTGCTACCTAACTTCTAACAATACAACCTGCTCCCATGGATTTTATGGATCCTCCCTTCCAACCCTACCAGGCTTGGTCCCCACCTGCACAGGACTGGGAGCAAATCTTGGTAACACTGTGGTCCCACCCCTAAGCACTTTTTGGATCCACCCCCTCCAAAAAGCTCTCAGTCACAGCCCATCCAAAGAGATGCAATTAAGACTCCCGAGTGTACAAGCTGCCCTGACAGGGGCCAGCACCACTTCAGAAGGGACTCCTGCCCCGGGGAGAAAGAGAAACCACAACATACACCAGTCTAAATGCAGCCCCAGTAGTGGGTGAGGGGCAGACTACAGCTTGCAGCTTGGAGCCTTGTTTAGATTCTGTGCCTCCCTCTTTCTGCCCCTCCCCCACTTATACTCTGTCACTCTCTCTCTTTCTCTCTCTCAAAAATAAATAAACATAAAAAAAAAATAGTTAATATCTATTGTTCTCAAACTATTCCAAAAAATGAAGAGGAAGGAAAGCTATCAAATTAATTCTAAGAGGCAAGTATTAACCTGATACCCAAACCAGATAAAGACATCACAAAAAAAAAATGACAGGCCAGTATCTCTGATGAACACAAATGCAAAAATCCTCAATAAAATGTTAGCAAACTGAACCTAACAATACATTAAAAAATCATTCACCCCAGTCAGGTGGGATTTATTCCCAGGATGCAAGGGGTGGTTCAGTATTTACAAAACAATCAGCATGATATATCACATTAACAAGAGAAAGGATAAAAACCATATGATCATTTCAATCAATGCAGAAAAAACATCTGACAGAGTACAACACCTATTCATGATAAAAATCCTAAACAAAGTCGGTTTAGAGGGAACATACCTCAACATAATAAAGTCCATATAGGAAAACCCACAGCTGATGTCATACTCACCTAGGTTAGGAATGAGACAAGGATCCTCACTCTCACCACTTTTATTAGTGGAAGTCCTAGCCACAGCAATCAGATAACAAAAAAGAATAAGATATCCCAACTGTGAGGAAGAAGTAACACTTTGACTACTTGTAGATGACATGATACTATATTTAGAAAATCCTAAAGACTTCACCAAAAAACTACCAGACCTAATAATTCAGAAGGTTGCAGGATAAAACATTAATATACAGAAATCCATTGCATTTCCATTAACTAATAATAAAGAAGCAGAAAGAGAAATTAAGAAAACAATCTTATTTACAACTACACCAAAAAGAGTAAAATACCTAGGAATAAACCTAGCCAAGGAGGTAAAAGACCTATACTCTGAAAACCATAAAGCACTGATAAAATAAATTGAAAACAACACATAAAAATAGAAAGACATTCCATGCTGATGGATAGGAAGAATAAATATTGTTAAAATGCCCTTATTACCCTAAGCAATATACATATTTAATGCAATCCCTATCAAAATACCAACAGCATTTTCCACAGAACTACAACAAATAAACCTAAAATTTGTATGGAACCACAAAAGACCCCAAATAGCCATCTTCATTCCAAAGTTACTAACTTTTGGATTTCTCACATTTCATTTTTCATCCTAGACTGGTGGCAGATAATCAGGTTAACCAGTATACACAGTGATAAGCAAATTTCCACAGGTCCTAAAATGTAAACAAGTTCACACACACTTTTTATCAGAAATAGTGCTTGGAAGGACATGTTTTTTATATTATGTTTTTAAAAATAGGTAGTCCTTAAGTGACTTTGTTTCAAAAGTTCACATGTGAGCTATGTGATGTTTAATTAACTGGTGTTGACTTCAAACAATAAAAATTCATTAAAAGCCATATTGATACATTAAAAAAAAAAAAAAAAAAGACCCTGAATAGCCAAAGCAATCTTGAAAAAGAAAAATAAAGCTGGAAGTATCACAATCCCAAATTTCAAGTGATACTACAGAGCTGTCATAATCAAAACAGTATGGTATTGGCACAAAAACAGACACACAGATCAATGAAAGAGAATAGAAAGCCCAGAAATAAACCCATGATTATATGGTCAATTAATCTTCAACAAAGGAGGCAAAAAAATGAAATGAGAAAAAGTCTTCAACAAATGGTGCTGGGAAAACTGAATAGCTACATGCAAAAGAATGAAACTGGACCAGTGATACCATACACAAAAAATAAAATCAAAACTGATTAAGAACCTAAATGTGAGACCTAAAATCATAAAAATCATAGAAGAGAACCCAGGCAGGAATGTCTCTGATATCAGCCATAGCAATATTTTTCTAGATATGGTTCCTAAAGCAAGAGAAACAAAAGCAAAAATAAACTCTTGGGACTACAAATAAAAAGCTATGCAGCAAAGGCAACAATTAACAATCAACAAAACTAAAAGACTGAATGGGAAAAGATATTTGCAAATGACATACCCAATAAAGGATTAGTATCTAAAACATATAAACAATGTATACAGAAGTGCCCGGGTGGCTCAGTCAGTTAAGCGTCTTACTGACTCTTCATATCAACTCCAGTCATGATCTCACGAATTGTGAAATTCCAAATTATAGAAGCAGTGCAGGTCCATTGATAGATGGATAAAGAAGAAATGGTATATACATAATGGAATATTATTCAGCCATAAAAAGGAATGAAATCTTGCCACGTGCAATAAATGGATGGATCTAGAGTATAATGCTAAGCAAAGTAAGTCCGTCAAAGACAAATACCATATGATTTCACTCATATGTGGAATTTAACAAAACAAATGAACAAAGCAAAAAGAGACAAACCAAAAAACAGACAGTTAACTATAAAATACAAACATGCTTATCGGGGGGAGGGAGATGGGGGTAGGGGTGAAATAGGTGAAGAGGATTAAGAATACACTTATCTTGATTAACACTGAGTAATTTATAGAGTTCTTGAGTCACTACATTGTATACTTGAAACTAATATAACACTCTGTGTTAATGACACTGGAATTAAAATACAAAAAAGAAACACAGATCAAGAGAATACTATTAAAGATAAAGGAAGAACAAATACTGGAAGGGGTTGTTAGACAAGGATACATTTCTATTTATTGAAATGGTTTAGTCATATTCTCACAGAGGGAAAGAATCTAAATGGCTAAACTTTAATCAATATAATGTTTTAAAAATCTAAACACATGATCTGCATAGCCAATCTCTGTTATATAGACCAACCTTTTCTGGGTGTGGTAAAATTTCAGGATTTTCAGCCTCAGGCCCTAGAAGATAACCATACATTTTACTCCAGTTTTATTAAAGCACTAAAAACATACCCTCTCACTTAGCATTTCTTAATCATGTAACTTGAAATGACTCCCTCAGACATTCGTGTGATTTATAAAATATTTTATAAATATTATACCTATTTATTGATGTAAAAGTATCATTACACTGGCAATAAACAAAAGAAAATTTTTTCCATTTCTTTAAAATATACTACTTTACATGAAGATAGGTAAAATTATAATTATTTAGAATTGGTTCAGCTAAAACCCAGCTTCTCTATTTCGGCTGAGTGATTCTAAGAATAGGTAAGTACAAAGAGCACAAAATCTTATCTCCTTTCTCAGGGTCATTATCTTCTCCATTATGGGTAATAGAATATAAATTAATTTATGCTGTCAAGTTAGGCATGTAAAGGAACACCCCATGTAGGGGCCAAAAGGAATCAGGAGGTTGTCCTAAATATGACTTCCCCTTTACCTCCTCACTCTGCTCCCTCTGCAATTCATACCAAGTGAAGTTGAAGGAGGATCAGGAAAAAAGGTATTTCTCAAATTCCATTCCTCTTGCTTCATACCTTCACCATCAAGGACCAGGTACTCTGACATACTTAGGTAGGAAATTAGGGCTCTTTGGAGTTTCAGGCATATGCTTGAATCATTCACTGGTTTCTTTTGATTAGGCAGTATCTAGAGCTACAGCGTAATCCAAGTAATTGTCTGGTAACCTTACCATGCATCCTCACAAGCAACACAGGTTTTTCAGGAAAAAATAAGCATAAATACGCTTATCACATGGTGCAAAAATCTGCCTCTTATTGTTGTTTTGTTTTGTTTTATCTTTGCCATTTGATGATGACAAAGCTATGAAAATCAACTAGGAAGGCTAACATCATGGCATTGCACACCCTCACAGGATGAAGAGCAAAAAGTTATTATGAATAAATAACTTCTTATCCTTGCATTAGAATTCTTTGTGCCAAGCAATGATGATAATACATGATATTGTGTATATCTTATCATTTAAAATTTTATCTCTAGTTGTTTAAAATTTTAGCACAAATGAAAGAAACACTGTAATACAATAGATACATTTTCAATTATCTCTTTTTTTTTTAACTGTCTGATCCTTGGGGAGTTAGTTTAAAAACACAGAAAAAGACTTCATCCACTTTTGCCTTCTCTAAATTGTAAAGCAAATCCTCAAAACCACCTCCTTCTATATTGTTTTTAATCACCTCATCACCAAAAATGATCATTCTTCTATGCTAATACTTACTATTTTTAAAATTTGACAAGCTGGTATAATAAAATATAGTATACTAGTTGACTACTATATTAAAAATAAATGTTATTTAGAGGAAATTCTCATTTTCTAGCTACAAAATTTACTTAAAACATTTTTTACAAATTAAAAAAATTTTGTGGAGTTTTGGTCTTTTAATAAATTATTAAAAGATTTTGTACATTTCCTACTAACACTTGAGACAAAATGTAGTAGTAACATGAATGTAGAAAAAAAGAATTCTAAAATGCCAAATGAGAAGAAAATGCTCAGAGGAGCTAAATTTAACTCATAAACAATTACAACAATTACTAATTCGTTTATTTTGATCATTCTACAATTTGGTTAGTATTACTTTTGAACAATTGTATTAGAACAGAGCTAGCAATACTAGCTAACAATTTAATAGTTTCCTTACATGTAATTTAACCTAAAGTCTAGGATGATAATAAAATGAATGAGCTTCCTATTCTGAACACTCTGAAAGGAATAAAAGGATGAGGGAGTTGCAGTGAAGTGCCAGAAGGGAAAAGGAGCGTCTAGTCACAGCAGCTTCATGGCAGCAAGAAAAACCACGAAGTCAAAATCCTGGTGCCCATGGCACTTTTAAAGGCTTGCAACTCAGAAGTTCAGTGAGGGTGGTGGTAAGAATGCACAGATAGCAACAGCATCATATGGCATGCGTGGCTTTCAGAAGGCCAAATGTCTTGCATTTCCCACACTTTTAACTTCCTACTCATTTGGCCTTCTGAGAGCCATTAACGCAAATAAATCCATATCTAACTAAGCCTTCTATTTTTAGGCAAAGAAAAATTTACTTTGTATGACTCTACCCATAAAAACATACCTTGAATGCTTCGGTGGTTCAGTGAAAGTTCAGCCTGGGGAAATGATTCAGTGACCACTGGAAAACTTTTTCTATGCCTAAAAAATCAATCAATTAATAAATAGATACAAATTTTGAAACGTTAAGAAAAAAACACTTTCTCATTCAAATACAATTTAAACTTTTTTTTTAATTTAAAGGAATTTCAAAATTGCATGATTTTTTTTTGCTCCATCATTTTAATTACTTTTACAATTACTACCAATTTGCTAACATTTATACTTCAAGTATTTACAAAAATGAACAAGCTGAAAACTTAATGGTGAAGTTCAGGAGTGTAAACATGATAACCTTACATTTAGATGTAGAAGTCACTTTGGGATGACAGTACCAAGGATAGTGGGGGAGAAAAATTGGTCCTGGTTTATGTATCTCGGTTATCAAAATCCTACAATACACTGAAAGCTTGTCATTATAGTTTTAAATGTAAGTGAAAGTCACTAATGAGAAAATTCTCAGATATTTATAATACCTTGTATTTCACAGTAGGCAAAGAACACATACGAAATATTGATGGAAAGAGATTGAAAGCAAAATAGGAGTCATGCTACCCTGCAATTTTATCATCTGCCCTGGGATAATTAAAAGATGACTGAAGAAAAGCACTCAGTTAATTATTTTTTCCTTAATCTAATTTACTACACAAAGGCAATCAAGATATTTCTCTTAAAAAAAGAACAAAACCCTCTTGTTCCAGCTGTTTTGAGAGAAGTTTTACACATCAGGCATGGTTACTTGAAGCCTAAGCAAGAATAATTAATTGAACGCTTTCTCCTGTCTAAAAACAGAAGTGATCAATATACGCTACCTTGAAAATGGAACTGAAGCTGCTCATACAGAATAATTTCTATGAGGCAAATAGGAATGAATGTTGATTTTTTCCCCTAAAATGTGATTCTTTGAGAAGAACAAGCTGACTTAAAACAAAATAAAATCATAGTCTGAGTCAGCGACTGGATGTTTTTCCTTAATTACAAAGGAGAATTTAAGACATAAGTCTGAAAATAGAGCAAACTTTCAACTAAATTATTAAAAAATAGTTATTTATATTAAGTAACAGCAAATAATGTACATGTCTAACAGAGGAATAATTAAATGATTATTAGTATACAGTCAAGTTATACAGTGAAATACTGTGAGGTCACCAAAATTCATGTTTTTAAATAATATTAATCACATAAGAAAATAATTTGATAATTACTAAAAATTTTTAAAAAGGAAACAAAAAATTATAGAATGACTCTAATTTTGCAAAAAAATATAAACAGAAGTAAAACTATAAAAAAGCCTGAAATAAAATGTACCAAAATGTTAACAATGGGTCTCTAGGGCATGGATGCTGTGTTAGCCTTACCTAGTCTTCTTTCTTCCTCCATTTCTGTAGATGAACTTACAGTGCTAATACATTCAATAATAGAGTTATTTTAATAGGGTGGTTCTCAAACTTTTTGTTCTTTGGTCTCCTTTACACTCTTAAAAATTACTGAGAAACTCAAATGGCTTTTATTTATGTGCAATATATTATATTTAATATAATTTTTATAATTTTATATTTATTTGTAAATATATTTATATAATTTTTATATATAATATATATATTTAAAATATATATTTATGTAT